CAAAGGTCTTCTTAAAGTCTAGAAAGACTATGTCCACAGTGACACCATCATCCAAGGATTTAGTTACTTGGTCGTAAAAGGCAATCAGGTTGGTCTGGCAGGACCTGCCTTTGGTAAACCCATGCTGATTGTCCCTGAGCATGATCTCCCTTGCAGGCCCCCACAGATGTGCTCCTTGATGATTCTCTCCAAGAGCTTCCCGAGCACCGAGGTGAGGCTTACAAGCCTATAATTACTTGGGTCCTCCTTCCTCCCCTTCTTAAAAATAGGGACCACATTAGCCAGATTCCAATCCCTCGGCACCTGGCCAGATGACCACGAATGCTCATATAGCCGGGCCAAAGGCTCCGCGATAACCCCTGCCAGCTCCCTCAACACCCTTGGGTGGAGGGAGGGTGCTGTCAAAACCATCTCTTCTTCTGGTGGGAGGGAAACAGGTCTTTTCACTTTCACAAGTGGCTGGACCACAGGAGCACTGGGCAGAAGTGGAGACCTTGTCGAGAGAGAAAGAGGCCAATTTCCCTGTACAACTGGCAGCCAACATACTGTCTGCACCAGACTGGCCCAAAGGAGAGGGGCCTCTTATGTTAGTGCTCACCAGTCAGACCTTTTCTTTTCAAAAGACCTACAGCCAGTGAGGATTGGGGACATTTGCATGACCATGCTTGTCTCTGGTGCCTTAAAAAGAGATTCAGGGAGTCCTAGCTAGAGACCTCTTTGCCTCCAGAAGCTGAGCTGGTCTGGATTCCTCACCATGGCCTGGGTCCCGCTCCTCTTTGCACTGCTCACGTGCTGCTCAGGTGAGGGATAGGCTTGTTCTCATGACCAAAGTAATAAGGAAATGGCAGGTAAGATTAATTTTTCTAAGTCACTGAGCTGAGAAGTGTGTCTTGGTGTTGATTTCAGGGGTCTGGTCCCAGCCTGTGTTGACCCAGGAGCCCTCGGCATCTTCAGTGTCCCCAGGAGGCACTGTCACTCTGTCCTGCAGCCTGAGCACCGGAGCCATCACCACCAGCAACTATCCTGCCTGGTTCAGGCAGAAACCTGGCTCTGCCCCTCAGCAGCTTGTGTATTACACCAGCAACAGGCCCTCCAGGATCCCCACCCGGTTCAATGGGTCCATATCTGGCCAGAAGGCCATCTTAACTATCATGGGAGTCCAAGCCGAGGATGAGGCTGACTACTACTGTGCTGTGTGGTACAGCAGTGGGTACATGCAACACAGGGCTGCAGCTCGATGGGGAAGTGAGGCAAAAACCTCTCGTCCCCTCCCTCCATCAGCCTGGGCTCTGGGCTGCCTGCACAGCTTGGCTCCTACCCGAGACAAATGAGTCGGTGTCTGTTCCTCATTAGGAATTTCATCCCTCTGCGCTGCTCACTCACTCCTGCTCCTCCAGCTCTCTGGGACAGGTCAGCAGCTCTGTGCCCATGAAAAGCACAGCACACGCGGCCCAGTGTTACTGCCCAGGCACCTGGGGGACTAGTCCCACCTGCTGGTATATTAGATGTCTGCCAATGCCAGTGATATAGCTGCTGGGTGCCAGAGCAGGCATATGCTGTGGCCAAGCCTGGGGCTGTCATGGCTGAGGCAGGTGTTGACTGCTAAGACAAAACACAGCTCCACCTCCTCCTGGCCCTGCCCTCCTCCTGGCCTCCCCCAGCATTTTCCAGGCATCCCCCATCAGTGTTGTGCCCTCTGCTTGAAGCCAGATTTGGCTACTGGCAGGGAAGCGCCTGTGCCCACCTGCCCTCGGGCGTCCAATCACAGCAGCACCAGGGGAGGGACCCAGGCGGTGGGGTTGAGCGGAGGATGTTCCTGCGCACTGCCCGTGCAGACACGGCCGAGCAGTTCTCCGTTTCTCTCAGCTCTTCCAGTGCTGCCTGCGGCTGTTTCAATACCACCCCTTGCCTGGCTCTGGGGGAGTCTGGCAGGGCTCTGTTCTCAACGCTGTCAGCGTTACCGCCATCCTAGTCCCTGCAGCTCAACCTTGCTTTATGGACTCAATGTCAGTCTGGTGCTTATGACTCTTAGCTGCTCTTCTCTGCATCCAGCTGGGCATACGCAATGCATGGTGGTGGGGGTGGGTATGTACCCCTGGACTGGGGCCACTCTACGCCTCCCACCGAGTCAACTGTGACGGTGGGCACAGAGAGCTTCTTGCCATCTCTGTTTAAACATGGCCTTGCTGGCTTCTCACTTTAGACTCCTCCAGTTGTTTCCCTTCCCTTCTCATCCAAAAGGAAGGGACCGTCATGAGAAGGTTCATTGTTTCAATCCTCCACGTATCCCCCCACAATGGCACCCCTATGTTCCTCTTCCTCAGCAGCCAGAAGTCAAGGTGCCGAGGGCCTTCTCTCCTAACATTCAGCCCCTGGAGGAGTGACGGGAAGGTGCCGAGAGGGGAGGCTTTGAGCGCTGAGATGTGCTGCAAAGCTATTGAGAATAATTTCATGAGTAACATAACCTCTGTTACAGTGCTGTTTGTAATGCTAACACGAAACATCAGGCAGGTCGAATGGCAACATTAGCTTTTCTGATGGCAAAACAGCCATTGTGAAGTGCACATCCATATCCAGGGTATTGGACAGGCAGGAACTTGTGAGAGTGGAGAATCCAAAGGGCAGGGAGATGTTGAGAGCTGATGCCCACAGCTCTGTTGAGCTCTCCGAGCAGGAAAAGACAGTGCATGTTGTCTGCATTTAGCAAGAGGAATAAATACAGAATATAGACCAGACCCAGTTCTCCTCTCAGTTAAGCTAAGGTAAATCAGGAGTGAATCAGCTAAGGCCAAGGATTTACTTGATGTTTCTTCTAGTGTTAGTAATGGGGGAACTGGATGCCATACATGAAAAAAGGCTGCATATTGAAACCCCACTTATGTAAAAGACCAATTTGGTGCCTTTCAGTTATGGTGGAAGGGACTGGAGCGTGCTCTCTTATCAGGCCTTGTGCTTAGTAGTAGAACTGAACAGTTTATGTATCAATTTTCCCTCTTTTATTTTGAAGAAAGAAAGTTTAGAGGGAAAAGGGAGAAGTCTGCAGCCCCAGAAAGGTGGTTTTAGTAACTAGTGGACTGCACTCTGCACTAGCCCCAGGGAGCAAATGGACCCACATTTGCTGGCAGAAGGCAGCAAGGAACAGATGTGGGAGAGGGCTCTTCTCAGCTGTGGGGCTTTGAGAGAGAACTGGTGATTTTCAGCCAGACACCCATTAGTCTGGGGAGGGCTAATTGATTTGGGATCCTTACCCTGGTCTTAGGTCCCTCTTCTCCTGATGGGGCCTGGTAACAGGAAGACGGTTTCTGCTGTCTGA